GGGAAATTTTTCCTTTTTTATTTTGAGGGGGAAAGAAACACCTAAAATAAAGTAGAGGGAACAGTTTATCGACATTCCAACAATTTGACGTTGAAATTTTGACTTAAGTAAAAACAGTTTCTAAACTTTAGGCTGCAAACTCTTTCGGAGAGAGAATACACTGGATTTTCTCTCAGTTATAAACATTTTAATACCATTCAGAATAATTTAAATGAAAAATATTTATCAAAGTATGTGGCAACAAAAGCAAAATATAAATGTAAATTAAACGCAGAGTATGAAGTGGGATGGAGATAATTTCGCAAGACCTTGATTTCGACAGTTTGTAAAAAAAAAATGCTAGCACATATCCCATTTACTAAATATAATGGATGGGTAGGTGATACCTGGATCACAAATTAATATTATTTATAAGTGAATTATATTAAAATATTTCATTAAAAAAATTAATATAACATGCAATATTTTTTTTTAGTTGTCTTCATATAAAAGTACTTATAACACATTAATCTACTTTAAAAATTATTTTAAGGCATATTCATTTAAGCGTGCTGAATGGGGTTCCCGAAACACTATATAGCTCTTAAGGGTTCCATGAATCAAAAACGTTTGAAGACCACTGGTATATTGAAACAATGATTTGTAGGAAATCTCGATACTTGTTGATAGCATATTATCACACAAAGCACAGTACGATTTTTTTGCTTATTAATGTCACACTCGGAAGGGATTGAACCACGGTCAAGGGACGAGGGCCGGCACCAGAGTTGGTACCCTTCTTTCCAAACTTCTATATTGCGCTATCATGAACTACAGCCTCGACAGATTTATTCAGCATCAACCTCGACGGACCTTTAGAGGCACCAGGGCTAGAGTTCATGACTCGCGAAGAACACTGATCTCCGACAAAGTATTTTGATAAGAAACCAGGGAACATTTTAGAATTTGAAAAGTTATCACTCAACGTTCAGATGCGATAATGAAAAAACATACCGAGATATTGCAAAGATTTTAACATGCCAAATTCTAAGTATATTAAAATGCAATTTTTTAATCTTTAAACGAAAAAACTATTAAGTCTTGAGCGCTGAGATGTTAAAAGATGAAATTCAAAGCAATTTGTTAAATGTTTTAAGTTGAAGGGTAGCTGGGGATACGTTTTCTTACAAGCGGTCCATGAATCGTTGGTTTGATTGAATATTAACGTCACACTGTTCAGCTACACGAGGGCTTTTGGCGACGGACCACGTAATTTTGAACCATGGTCAAGTGACGTGGACGACACCTCTGAGCTGGCAGCCCCTCTCCTAACTACCACACCACACCAACGGGAGGACGTTTCATCTCTCGACAGATTTAACGTGCATCTCTGCCCTACACGGCGAGGTCTTTAGTGGTACTGGGCTCGAACTCGCGACAAAGGCAAGCCACGATCCGATACCTATACCACTCGGTACCGCGGCCACCCATGAATCGTTGGACATTCCAAGTTAATTAAAACTTAACAAGCTTTAATTTCTTTGAAGATTCTTCAAAATTTGTTTTTAAATTAACGTCGCTCTAGAACTGAGAGAATCGTGTGCTAAGTACTGTTAATATACCTTCGCACACTTAGCCTGCAAATAAACAAAAGTAATACCCGAGCTGATATACAATGCCATTTGAAGACTACGAGATCCAATTGCATTTTAACATACACTAGTCATCCCACACAAGGATCTATGGTTAAAAAAAATGTCTGTAACTTCTGACCCATTAATCACCCAGCCGGGTGTTCTGTTCGCTTATCCCTGGTATTGAGCAATCAGTCGCAAAACGTGGCCAATCTGATAAATTTCACAAGAATCTAGTACTATGGCAGTAATACGCCTGAAAGCTTTTTGAAATCCAATGTCGTCTTCGATTAATATAGATTGACACAAACTCTGTGATAATTTTTTTTTTCTTCCAAAAACTGGAGAATATTTAAATATTAAATGCCACACTTTAACTTCATTATTTTATAGATAGCTATAAGATTTAGTTATACCACTAATTTTTTGAATTAATTAATTAATCTATTCATTAAAATAAAAAAGTGGCGGATTCATGAAATTTTTCATAACATTAAAAAAAGAATGTGGCAAGATGAATTGTATCACTTCAAATTTATATAAACAATTATTTCATTTTCTTACGCAAAAAGCATTCTAGGTTTGGAACATACCCACAGGCATTAGAAGCTTTAAGTTCAAAGACCTCAATGAATCCTTACGCCCCCGCCCCAATCATTATAAAATATAAACGTGCCTCAATAAGAAATAATGAGATCCGTTTCACCCGAAACAGTGAAAAGACTCACGAGGAACAAATTCCCTTTCGCAGGTTTAAAATTCTTGTCGGCGGTTGCCGTTTTATAAAAAGGGAATCTAGGTCAGTTCTAATAACAAAATTATAAAAACAGGGAATGGACGTTCTCCCTTTCCATCTTCGGCAGTGATGGGAGGGGGTTGAAGAAAGGGAGGCCCCCTCCCACCTGTGGTAATTGCAACGAAGTTTCACTCTCCACCTTTCCCTATGTGGGTCAGCGTTCGGTTGGAAAACCCAAAACATTGCAGCTCGAGTGGGTGAAATTGGGTTAAGCCGTTGCTCCAAGGATCCAACCCCCTTCCCCAGAGATCCGCATACCGGGGCCTCAACCAACCGTGACAGCACTGTGTTGCCGTTTTTATGGATTACACTTTCCCTCCGTCCACTCGCTCGGGACATAACGAGGAGGGGGGAAATACATTCCCTCAGGTACTGGTTTATTGCCATCACCTGCATCCATTTCAATAAGCGTGTTCCTGGCACTGCTTGTCGCGAAGAATTTAAAGTCTTCAAGATCGTGCTTGCAGTCGAAATAGTAACTTCGTGCCGAGTCAAGTGTGAACTGCCAATTCATGTTTAGAGTAGGAAAGATTTTTTTTGTACTTTGCCTTCTAAATAGACACCAATATATGTGTACCTCTTTATCAGAATAGTAGCCATTTATTTTAAAACACACAGACGAGATATTGCCACCCCCTCCTCCGACTTAAATAACAAGTCTTATAAAACTGTATGCTCTATATCAGGGGTGGGCAATTGTTTTGGCTCAAAAGCCACATTGTGGATGCAGAGGATACAGGAGGGCAGCACCTTTTTAAAATTATTGCATTCATAGCAAGAGGAAATAAATATAAGTTAAATAAAATTATGTAAATTTAAATCAATTTCTTTGTTGAGCTAACTTCATATTGTGTGTTGTGTGTGTGTGTACCTAGCAAGCGTATTTAACTTTAGAATCAGTTTAACCCTGTATCTACCGCATTATGATTTACTGCAGTTTTTTTTCAAGCAATATATTTTTTTGGATCACTACATTGAAAAAATTAAGGGATATACGTAAACAAAAATACTCAACTTTGGGAAATTTAATCCGTTAGAGCTAATTAAAAATATTCAAGTGTAAAATTATTTATATACACTGTTCACTTAAAATAAATAGTCAAATCGTTTTCTAAAGGTCTGCATTAACATACAAAAAAGTAAAAGACACTGATCTTTAACATTAACTATTTTTTCGGAACAAAAATGATAATCTTCGCAATCCGGTGAAAACGCATTTTCTGCTATAAAACTATTCGCCTTCCCCTCTAAAATACTTATAGAACCAGTGCTGCCATATATCTTAGAATGTTGATTTCAAAAATATTCCTGCTAAGTATCGTCAGAGTATTCGTAAAAATGGTTATTCTTTGTAATTTTAAAGTGAGTGGTATTTATAAGTACCGTCGGTAGATAAAGGGTTAATGAGACAAATGTGTGTGCCCTGTCTCATTTCTTTTTAATTGAGATTGATTGTTGTTAATTCTCATCACAGCCCGCAAATTAATGTCAACGAACTTTCATCTATATTTACTCTTATTGATCTTCGAGCAAGACAAACTTTGCTCACAAATGTCGACCTAAAAATATAGAAAGAATTTTCTCTATATTTGGTTTTCTGACCGTCTTGGTAGGCCGCTATTTCCCCATCCCTGATCTAAACCTCTTCCAAAAGCTTGTGGCATTATCTTTTTTTTTAATATGTTAAAAAATGGTTTCATACTTTTGAAGAAACTATTATTAAACTCAATTCAGCAATTCAATTGACTTCATAAGTCGATTAGTTCGTAAGTATTTACTTAATACTTTTAAGTAGCAAATACATTCAGAAAAACCGATGGGAAAGTAGAATACAAAATTAAAAGGAAAAATGTCACTTAAAACGAAATAAAATGTTTCCACACTGAAATTACTTCCTTGATTAGAGTAAAAAGCGGAATTAAACATTTTTCATTTTAATCGAACTAAGTAACTCTGTGATCTCGTTTCCTCAAAAGTACTGTGAGACTAAATAAAACTCAGAATACAGCAATCTGTTCTTTTTTTATGGTTAATATATACATATATATCAAATTAAATCAATTCCTATTCAAGTTCACCGAAGGAAAATTTTATTTTAGTTACTTTTCATTAAATAGTTACGATAAATATAAATATGTATATACATATGACAAGTGGCGCAAAACAAGGGGTCCTGGGTCCGTACCTAAAGCCTTGATTTTTTCCGATTGGTAAAATTCCAAGTTATATAATACCCAAATTTAATTAAATATTTGTTATTAATGATTAATTTTATTAATTAATGCTAATTATTTATTCAATAAGTAGTTTTTACTGTGTTTTTTTCCGAAAAACACAAAATCAAAATAACATGATACAAAAATGGTGAACTTTCAACCCCGGGCCCCTGAAAATTCTGTGTGCGCTATGCATTAAGAATCACAATATTAAGTGACAATAGAAAAACGATTTTCTCTGAATTGTCCAATTTTCCTATACTAAAGTATTGGGACATTATTTATTTTTTTGTTTTTACTATTTTTTATTCATTCATTAAATTTAATTAATAAAATAGAACAGTAAAAAAGAAATCACATTCTCAGAAACTAGGACATCTGAAGTGGGATTTGAACCCACGACCTTTGGATTAGAAGTCCAACGCAGTATCTTTAACACTTCAGAGACAACGAACGATTTTCCTTTCTATATAGGCTGTTGGACTATTATTTTTTTGTTTGTTACTATTTTTATTCATTTTTTAATTTAATTAATGAAATAATATTTGAAAAAACTGTATTAACATCAAGTGTCATCTACTACAGGTTTAAAAAATGTACTTAAACTTGAATGAATAGAAAGTATTTTATTAAGGATTGAAAATTTGAGCAATATGTATATATATAATATAGGGAGAGAGTGAACTAACAGTAGGAAATGAAAAAAGTTAAAAAAGCATTAAAAAGGCGAAATTGCTTTTCTTTTACGGTGTTTTCCAAACTTGGATATGCACAGAGCCCTTTTTTTTCTCAATGAAACTGATTGGTTATTTTAATATTAAAATTGTTGGTGAAATATTTTGTTATTTTAAGTCTTGATGAGATGAGGATTTAAAAGAAAATAATGAAAAGTACCTGAAGCAGCTTAGCAAAAAAAAAGTTGCATTAAGAACTGAATCATCGCCTCTTCCCCCAAAAATAGTTTTCACCAAAAACTTCATTGAGTTTAAAGCTTACTGGATGGCAAAAGATTTCATGGTATATGTAATGCTTCTGTTATTTTGGTCCCTTGACCGACTTGAGAGCACGTGCAAAACAAACTTGCGTTATGCATCAGCGCTCATGGGAACTGATCATTTTTCAAATGGTTGGATATTTACATTTTCAAAACAGAAATCTGTGAAATGCCTCTTTTCTATAATATCTATCAAAATATCGGCTCTTAACACAATTACTGGATCACTTTGGCGATAGAACCATACGCCCACGAGTTTGCAAGGAAGAAAGTTAAGCATCTTTTTAAATAAAAACTACTTAGATTTTGCTTTTTGAAAAAATGTGTAATAAATTAAAGCAATATCACTTAAATAATGTTACGCCACCCAAATTTGGTTTAATATTTTTAGTTAACCTAAATATAACATTGTACACTGATTCCACATGTTAAAACATTTAAAATATTTTTCCCTATTAATCTCTTCATTATATATTTAGGTACTAATATGATTTATATGCAGTTGTTTAAGATGTCCTAATTAAAATGTCCTCCTACGGGTTGTTTTTTGGTGGCGAGGTTGGTTTGCCGCTGGTTTTCTGCACCTAAGGTTGCGGGTTCAACCCCGCCTCAAGTCGCTGGATTTTCATGATGCAGAAAATCGACAGCAGCCCTGTCGTATGATTATACGGCATGTAAAAGATTCCTAGAGTGTCTGTTTGGCTTGGGTGCTCTCGGCAAAATTAAATCCTAGTACAGGTTGGCCAAACCATACCACTATCCTTTCCTTAAGGTTGCCGGCTAAGGACATAGCGGGTCAACAGATGGATAATGGACTCTCCAAACAGTAAAAACAAAGTAAAGGAAAATCCTACCCAAAACAAAACTGGCAGGTGGGGAGGGTCGTAACAATTTGAAGTGCCTAAGGCGTCGGGGAGGTTAAAATCGGCCCTGACCATGGCCTACATTAGTTGATAGAATAAAGTCGACCACGAATTCATGATCAGATACCACTGTCGTTTTCTCTCTTCGTCCACATTTTCGAAAAAATCGTTCAGTAAAAGATCCATCACGGCATCTGCAATCGGCAAAATCTTTGTTCAACAATGCTAAAAGCAGTTTATTTAATGTACACTGCGAGACTCTTACGAGGAGCCCAACATTTAACTCGCTTAAAAATCTGAATTTCAGATACTTGAAACTGCTTTAGTACCCACTGCCCTTTCCCACGCAACACAATGCTTGGAAATGGACGCGATAAGCGTCTTCATTTCGAATGAAAATGAAGCCCCGCGCATCATCTAAAAATACGCTCTCGTCACCTTTCTCATTCTTCGGGGAAATCGTGACATTTAATCGCGTATTGTTTCGCCCAAAGGTCGGTCACTTTCGGAAGGAACGGTTCTTCGAAAGGAGGCCACTTTTTCCCAGAGAGAAGCGGATCTCCGGGTTGAACATCCCCCGTGACGTCACGGGCCCAAACCAAAACAACACCCGCCGAGCAGGGTTTCGGTTTCGATGCGAGGAAAAGGCGGGCTGCACCAGTATGTCAACAAACAAGTCGTGGCAGTCTTTCCTCATTATAGATGGGAAATGTGCCTTATGAGAGCCAGAGCGAAGAGAAATGGGTCCTTTCGTCTTTTGAAACGGAATAGGGGGAATGAATAGAAAGAAAGGAAAACTCAAGCTTAATTTTATTTGATCCTTTAAATTAGCGATTTCCGAGCTACGAGGCGCAATAAGTTGAGCTAAAGTAAACTTCGCAGCATAACTCTACATGAAAAATACATGATGCACGCAAGAGGTGGGAAGGCGGGTCGGGTCTCAGTAGCGCACACAAAAATTTTTCGGGTCGGTGAAAATTCACCATTCTTGTATCATGCTATTTTTGATTATGTCTATTTTCAGGAATAAAACACAGTAAAAAACTAATTATTGAATAATAATTAGCATTAATTAATAAAATTAACCATTAATAACAAATATTTAATTAGATTTTACGTATTATATATTTAAAAATTTGGAAAATCGCTCCCCCCCTTTCTTGTGAGTGCCAATGGAATCAATATCATAGCATATTTTTCTTTTGGATAGAACGTTTACAAATCAACAGTTTCATAATTTTGATGTCGAAAAAATTCATAACAGGAAACTGATTAATAACAAATCTCGAGTCATAGTTTCAAGGAAATAAATTCAAGGGGGGGCACCCCCTCTTGTGTGCGCCACTGGCGGGTCTGGTACCCCCATAGCCGTTGATTTTTTTTATTTTAATCCTATGTATGTAATAGGTAAAATTTAATTAAGTATTTATAATTAAAAATTATTTTATTTACTAATACTAATTATTTACTCAATTAATTTACTGTTTTTTGTTGTCGAAAATCGACAAAATCAAAAGAATGTTATGTTAGGCGGCATAATGGAGCATGGTACGAGAATGGTATACTTTCGACCCGTAACTCCCCTCTGAAAAATTCCTGTGTGCGTCACTGCATAGTACATATGAATAAATTTTAATAAAGTAACGGTGAATTATATCTGTCTGTCACACCCTAATTTTGATACAATTATTTTTTAAAATCAGAAAAACCTTTTCTGAAAGCAAAGAATTAGTCATTGAAAAGGTGCCAAGTTTGGATTATTTTTAAAGAGAGGACGTATATTGTAATGAAGTTTAGAAAACCACTACTTCAAACCATTTCTAACCCACAATTTTCTAATCAGTAAATATATATATATGCTAGAAATTGTTTGGAAATAAAGGTAGTATTCATCAACATAGCACTGCGAAGCAATACGAGGGCTACCTCGAGATTTTGAACTTCAACCAAGTGACGAGAACGACACTTGACTAGTACCTCACTCTCCAAACTTTCACACCATGCCAACAGGAGGAATTTGAGCAACTGAAGATTGAACGTGCATCAGCCTCTACACGGTGGCATCAGAACTCGAACCAGCGACTTTACAACACCAACCACAAGTTCGTGACCCTGACCATTAGGCTACCGCGGTCACTTTGAAACAAACTAGTTGAAAGTAAACCAAGTATCTCTAATTCCTTTATAAATAGCCTGGTACTGCCATCAGGATATGCAAAACAGGAAGTAAAATATTTCCCGGATATAAGACAGGAGTTGAACACTCCCTGACCAGAAATATCACAGGCACAAGAAAAATTGAGAAACCTTACCCCCTCTTTTTGACGGTAGCGGGAAGGATGGGGTTAAGGCTGTCCCCGTGCGATGTTCTGTGGAATAGAACCCGCTTTAAGAATATATTTCAAATACAAAAAAAGTGCTCCGCTCTATTTTATGTTCTCGCTTCTGTCTAATATAAAGAGTAGCACGTTGTTTATGTACATATATACACGAGTTAATTTATTTCCTGGTGCAAAACACGTGTTTCACTCTTCTCAGCGTAATGCTAAATGAGTTACTCATTTGTCTTGTGGAACGTTTTGAAATTTTGTAACACTGTATTAAAAAACATACGAATTGCAACGTTGCAAATTTTCATGAAATTTTTTGTCTGAAAATGCGATTCACTTTAGATCAGACTGTAGTGCATTTTTTAAAGACTATCTTAATTTTTAACTAAATTTACGTAGTCAATCGTTTAGTGAGGCTTCTAAGACTCAATTCTTTGTTCTAATTTCCATCTGAATAAGGTGAAGTTTTCGAGACTGCTCGAATCAACCCATGCCAGCCTTCAGCGTAAAAAGGTCATCCAGCTCGTACGTTACGAATCATAAGACCTTTATCAGATCCCATCAAAATGTAGTCAACAAATAAGTTTGGATATGCAGTTAGGAATTACATAGGCATTAGAATATTTACACTAAATATGAAATGTGAAAAAAATTTACATACTTTGGCAAATATCTAATTTACATTAAGATCTAAATACATTTAAATACAAATATCAAATTAATAAAAAGGCGTAGCATTAAAAAATAAGCATAAATTAAAAGTGATTTTTATATATTATTGAAGTAAACATATTCGCGCCAAACAAAACACATTTCAAATTTATTCTTTCCAAAATCCCTTCCGACTATGCATGAGCATTCAAATTTTCCAACAAGGAGTCGTATCGCCAAGGCGATTATGAATCATTCAACTCTTGTTTTAATGTATTCCGATGTTTTTATGGGAAGACTGATATTTATTAGGACTTCTTGTATATTATGTAGACATTATTCAACGCAAAACCCTTTCGACTTAATATTTATTCACTTCGTTTTGCTTTTTGTTATATAAGGGATATCATTCCCTATTCACAACTTTAGCCCAAAGTTATTCCCTTGCAAAGAGCGTGGAATCCAAAAGGTTTTGACTGTCAAGTGTATTTATTTCCGGATTCTTTCGTGAGTCAGGATCGAAGCAGACAATTGTTCACTGTGTGTGAGTTTTACGTATAATAAATAAAAGATGCATTCCATTTGAAAGTTGGATGTGCCGGGGAAAAAAATTCAAT